AGAACCAAACTTGGTCCTTAGTCAAGTTACCACCGGGAAAGAAAGCATTGGAGAACAAGTGGGTTTTCAGAATCAAAGATGAAGCAGATGGGAGCAAAAGATACAAGGCCAGGCTAGTTGTCAAGGGGTTCCAACAGAAGAAGGGGGTTGACTACAATGAAATCTTCTCCCCGGTTGTGAAGATGACTACTATCAGGTTGATTCTTGGTATCGTTGCAGCTGAAAATTTACACTTGGAGCAGCTGGATGTGAAGACTGCTTTTCTTCATGGTGACCTTGAAGAAGACATTTACATGGCCCAACCAGCAGGTTTCCCAGTGAGTGGTAAAGAGAAAATGGTGTGCAAACTCAAGAAGAGTCTATACGGACTGAAGCAAGCTCCTAGACAGTGGTACTTGAAGTTTGACAGTTTTATGCAGCGGAATGGGTACACTAGATGCAAGATGGACCATTGCTGTTACTTGAAGAAATTCGAGTCTTCATACATTATTCTTCTTTTGTATGTTGATGACATGTTGGTGGCTGGAGCAAACATGCAGGAGATCAACAAGCTCAAGAAGAAGTTGTCTGAAGAATTTGAGATGAAGGATTTAGGGGAGGCGAGACAGATTCTTGGGATGAGCATAGTCAGAAACAAGGTGGAAGGTACTTTGAAGCTTTCACAGCAGAAGTACATTCAGAAGATCCTTGAGAAGTTCAGAATGACGGATGCCAAGCCAAGGAGTACACCGTTAGGGAGTCAGTTGAAACTCTCCAAGCAGCAGTCTCCAAAGACCAATGAAGACAAAGATGAGATGGCTAAAGTTCCTTATGCATCAGCCGTTGGCAGCTTGATGTACGCAATGGTGTCAACAAGGCCGGACATTGCTCATGCAGTGGGAGTTGTTAGCAGGTTCATGTCGAATCCAGGGAAGGAACATTGGGAAGGAGTCAAGTGGCTGCTACGCTACTTGAAAGGCACTTCTGGAACTGCTCTTTGTTTCAGGAGGAATGGAGTAATTCTAGAAGGATTTGCTGATGCTGATTTGGGGGGCTGTTGTGATTCCGGGAAGAGCACTACGGGTTACATATTCACAATTGGAGGTACGGCGATCAGTTGGATGTCTAGACTTCAAAAGAGTGTGGCTCTTTCGACCACAGAAGCAGAGTATATGGCCATTGCTGAAGCGGCCAAAGAGTTGATCTGGTTGAAGAACTTTCTTTCGGAGTTGGGCATGGAACAGGGGGATTGCGGTCTATACTGTGACAACCAGAGTGCTATTCACCTCGCGAAGAATCCAGTGTTTCACAGCAGAACGAAACACATCAAGATGCGATACCATTTTATCCGAGAGTTGATTGAAGACGGTATCATAAACTTGAAGAAGATCCTTGGTACGAAGAATCCAGCAGACATGCTTACCAAGGTGGTGACAACGGAGAAGTTGAAGCTATGCATGGCTTCAACTGGCCTTCCAGATACTTGATGGGAAGGTGTGAACGAGAGATAGAGATCAGGGGTGTTGCAGAGGATACATGTTCTTGGATGGCAGATGACTGTTGAACAAGCCTCCAAGTGGGAGATTGTTGAAGATGGAGCCTTGTTTAGAATGCAGGAGTATATACCCGACCGGGTATGTTGGGTTACCCGATCGGGTATGAGGTGTTGATGGGTCGAGTAGTTCCCTGGTTTCTACACTCGATCGAGTATTGGTCATTACTCGATCGAGTATGCATGGATGGCTTACTCGGGTAAAAGTCTGTGTTTTGTACCCGATCGAGTATGGAGGTATACTCGATCGAGTATGTGTAAAAACACTACTCGGGCAGAATTCTGGAATCTATACTCGGTCGAGTATGTATGTATACTCGATCGAGTATACGGGAAAATTAATGACGGGATTAATTTTTGGGCCTGCGGCCTTAACCCTTGTTTAGGCTTTCTTAAACCTATTTAAACATCCCTAATGTATCTGTAAACATACCAGACGCTGGAATAATAATACATCTCTCTCTCGTTCGCCGTGGACTAGCGTAATCACACCGATTGCGTGAACCACGTAAATTCTTGTGTTCTTGCTTTAAATTTATCGTTTATCTTAGCCTAATCGTGATAATTGACATTATACTATTTATATATTTCGAATCACGTACATATTGTAAAATTTTAGAACTACTTATCAACAACATTCAGCGTATTTTAATTTTTAATACTCCGTATGTCCCATTGGACGTTGTCTACTTTAATTTAAGCGTGAAATAAGAAAAGTAAAAATGGTGTTACTGCAATTTGTGCAGATGAGGGAGAAATAAAAAGAATCACAAATTCACTATTTTAAAATGAAATAGACAAAGTTTTTTGAACAAAAAAAAAAGAAACATTGACAAAATTCACCAAGGGAGTATGTTTTTCATCGGCATGAAAGTCATACTGCCAATATGCGCTGTTGATACTATTGCTTCTTCAATAGTTTGAGATAATAATCATTTAAAGATGATCAATCAAATATGTCAAATATAAATTACTCACTAGAAAATGATGATTATCCATTAAACTTTGTTATTGCTATGTTAATGAGGATACCGTGTATACAATATAATATTGTGCGTGTTAGTGTGTGAATTAGGTAATTATTAGTCTTTGATCTACATTTGAACGCTTACTAGAATTAGATTTTTATGGAAGTATATAAATATAGTTGGTATTTTAATTATAGGGAAATGAGCAGCTTATTGTTCTCCACTTCTCCTCTAAACTTTCACATTCACCATTAAGAAAATGTCTTCTGGTGTTTATTCATTTATCGGTTTCCTTTGGACGATTATATCAATATAAAGTGCCATTGGGCTAAAAATTAAAAAAATAAAAAAAAGTTGGTATTTTAATAAGAAATTTTAAGTAGATTTTTATTTATTTATTAAGATGATGTATATAAATATTGGCATAGTTCATAAAAAATAGTTACTTCCAACTCTTAAATATCATCCTAATGATTTTATAAATATTGGCATAGTTCTTAAAAAATACGTTGTAGTTACTTCCACTTAAATGTAAAACAACCCAGCTGAAGTTGACCAAACAATGTCGCAATTCCTCCTCTGCAAAAAATCAACACAAAAATCAGCTGAAAATTAAAGCTACTCAAAAAATTAAAGCTACTCAAAACTTGTGCAAACATAGAGCAAAGGGGGTCAGGGTGGTCAACCGACCCCTCCTGAAAGTTCGAGAACATAGAGCATTAAAATATCTTCGATTTGATATATTATGGCTCACATAACTAATTAATTACATATAAAACGTTTTGACTCTTAGAAAATTAGTACTATCTAAACTTGAAATGAGTAAAATTTGATCCGTAATATTTATTATATTTTAATTAAATTTTAATAATAACGTCTAATTCACTCATTCTTAGCGTAGAGTTTATAATGTATACGACACACATATATATCAAATCTATTACTCTGCCAGTCTCATTTAAACTACCATTATCTAAGCTACGTATGAAACATTCTAATGATATGTTAAGAATAGTCGCACAATTAGCTCATTATACATTTATAGTGTTGTGAATGTTACAGCTCTATTTCTATAAACATGATTTTTTTTAATCTAATTTTCCTAAGAAATAAATATATACATAATTAAGAGTAGTTATATATCAGTATTCCTGCTCTCTATTAATGATTCATTGCCAAAATGCAAGTAATAAGTACCAAATGAGTGAAAATCCCTAATTATTCGTACAGCAAGAATTAAGAGCTAAAAAACACATTTTCTTGGCAACAGTTGTCATTTTTAGTGGGTGGCTGTTGAATGGTTGATGTTGTTTTCTATTGTCTCGTGCTTGGTCCAGCTTCAGCCAAATGGATCCGTTACATTTATTTAGCTTATTTTATTTGATGAGGGAATTTATAGTTGCCACCTATAACTACTGCGCTGCTCTATTCATTATTTGATGAACCCGCCCAACCCAGCGTAATAACTCATTGACTTGCAAACAAGGACTAGTTTTTGAAAGTGTAAATAATGAACCCAAACTTGATTACTCCGTATTTTGTTTACGTTTTGGGGTATTTTGGTAGTAATGTTTTTGTTTTAGAAGGGAAGAGTGACGGGGGTTTATGATATGGCCCCTATTTTGTTAGGAGTTTAACAAAAAATGGAAGGGGTGGCTTCAGGGACGGAGCCAGAAAAATGAGTGAGGGGGGTCGGAATTTAATTATATACGGTATCAAAATGATGGATGGTTATTATACAATACTTGAGTCAAATGTTTCATATGTAGCTCAGATAAATGATAGTATAATGAGCACTTTTCGGTTAATGTATTGATGTATATGTAATGTATCATAATGTTCACACAACTAATGACTGAATTGGGTGTTTTAGTTTTAAATTTAAGAATATAATCAACGTCATACATCAAATGTTGCTTATTTCAAGTTAAGATTGTGCTGATTTTTTCAGAAGTCATAACTTTTTACTCGTAATGAGTTACGAGACCCATAATATATCAAATCGAAGGTATCTCATAACTCTATATTATTGAACTTTCAGCGGGGTCGGCTGACCACCCTGACCCCCCTAGCCCGCCCCTGGGTGGCTTATGAGTCTTTTTGTGTAACTTCCAAAGCTTTTCTAGTGATTAGTTTCCAAATGATTTTTGAGGAATAACTGGTTAAATGACAACTTTAGTTCAATTTAAAATGAATATAATATAGCTTCAACTATTTATATATACCTCATACATTCGAATCGATTTATTTATATTTCCTCCATAGTTTTAATCCTTCTAAATTTGTAAGTTTCAAAAAAGAAGGATGATTTCTTTCACACTCCCTCTCGTCCTATATGCTACCTCTAATTTTCAAAGTCTTCCACTTTCCCTGTTATGGGCTTATTTATTTTATTTGTATATTTTATAGCCTTAATTATAAATCAAATGGGCCAAGGGCTTCTTGTACACATGTATATATATTTTACTTCGTTAATGAAAATACACAGTTTTGATTCCTAAACCTTTCCCCCTCGGTTGCCGATCCAACATGGTATCAGAGCGTCGAGGGTCTTGAGCCTCTGCGCACGAACGAAACATCCAGGGCAGTGGAGGAGCAGCACCAGCGTGTTCGACTTCGACCCCTGCCATGGCGGATACATCTTCACCTTATTATCTTGGGTCCGGCGATCAACCCGGGAATGTTATCACACATGTAATTTTCAAAGGAGACAATTATGTGGCTTGGTCTCGGGCTATCACTCTTTCCTTGAAAGCGCGTCGCAAATACGTGTTCGTGGACGGTACCGAAACAAAGCCGACTGACAGAGCGAAATTGCTTGACTGGGACACAGTGAATTCCATGGTGGTGTCTTGGCTACTGCGGAGCATGGAACCCAACGTGGCGGCATCAATACCCTTCCACGATGAGGCACGCGCACTGTGGGTTTATTTGGAGAAGCGCTTTAGTGTTGCGAATGGACTGAGATTGCAGCAGCTTCGCGCTTCTATAACAGGGTGTAAACAGTCCAAGGCTATGTCTGTAGATGCGTATTACACCGCATTGATGAGTCTCTATGATGAATTTAATAGACTGAAGCCACTTCATGCTTGCACGTGTGGCCGGTGTACGTGTAACGTGGCCGGGAAGTTTGCCGCAGATCGAGAAGAGGAACGCTTGCATCAGTTTTTGATCGGAATTGATGACGAAGTTTATGGAACTGTGCGAAGTAATCTACTTTCGCAAACGCCTGTCCCTGACATAGATCGTGCTCATCAGGCCTTTCTCCAAGAGGAGAATTCACGGGCAGTAGCTCGCGGTAAACAGTCGGCCGCCATTGATGTTCAGGCCTTTGCTCTCACGAAAGGACGCCAGGAACGGGTGGACAAATCCAAGCTCATGTGCACTCACTGCAAACAAAAGGGCCACGAAGTTGGAGCTTGTTTCAAATTGCATGGATACCCGGAATGGTGGGACGAGAGAAACCGGAACAAAGGTGCTGCGGCTGGACGTGGAGGGGGGGCACGTGCGCACGCCGCGTCTCCATTACCAGGCAGCAGCAGTGGTTCGAATGGGAGCAGTGGCAGTAGGGTATCTTCCCAAGGTGATGCGAGTGCCTTGCATGACTTAAGCAGGGAACAGGTTCAGGCTCTGTTGAATTTGATTAGCGTTGAATCTAGTTCGTCTGACCGCATGTCGGGTACGTATACTTCCCTATCATGGATTATTGATACCGGGGCGTCACACCACGTCACGGGAAATTTGTCTTGTCTGACTCAATGCACTCGTATAAATTCATGCCCTGTTGGTTTGCCCGATGGAAGGACAGTTTCGGCCGAGGTGGACGGACGTGTGTTTCTCAATAAATACTTAGTACTTGATCGTGTCCTTTACGTGCCTGGACTGAATTGTCACCTTATTTCTGTCTCTCAGTTGATTGACAAGTCTGATTGTATTGTTACTTTCACTAATTTATTTTGTGCTATTCAGGACCTACGCTCGAGGAACCTGATTGGAGCAGGTGAACGGAGGGATGGACTGTATTATTTTCGGGGGATTCCTGAACTACATGCGGTTTGCACCTCAGGTCTGTCAGATTTTGAGTTATGGCATCGTCGTCTGGGTCATCCGTCGGATAGGGTGGTGAAATTGTTGCCTCAAATAACTAGCAGTACTTATGTGAAAAAATTAAATAAAGCTTGTGAGGTGTGTCCGCAGGCCAAACAAGCACGTGATTCCTTTCCTGTCAGTAATTTTAGAGCTAGTCGTATTCTGGAACTAGTACATTGTGATTTGTGGGGACCTTATAAAACTCCTTCTACTTGTGATGCTATTTATTTTCTGACTCTGGTTGATGATTTTTCTCGTGCTGTGTGGGTGTATTTGTTGCGTGATAAAAAGGAAGTGACTCGTTTCTTTATTTCCTTTATTACTATGGTAGAAAAACAATTTGAGGTTACTGTGAAAAATATTCGCAGTGATAATGGGACCGAGTTTAAGTGTATGGGACCTTATTTTGAATCTCATGGGATTAATTTTCAAACCTCGTGTGTTGACACTCCTCAACAGAATGGCCGCGTTGAGCGCAAACATCGTCACATTTTAAATGTGGCTCGGGCCTTGATGTTCCAAGCTAGTGTCCCTATCCGTCTGTGGGGAGAGTGTATCCTCACGGCCGTGTACGTCATCAACCGAACACCCTCTGGTTTGCTAGGTGGACAGACACCTTATCAAGTACTCACCGGTAAGATCCCGGACTTCTCCCACCTACGTGTCTTTGGATGTTTGGCTTTTGCATATAACTTGAAATCTAGAGGTGATAAATTTGCTTCACGTAGTAGGCGTTGTGTGTTTGTTGGGTATGCTTCCGGGAAAAAGGGTTGGAAAATGTATGACTACACCACAGGTGACATTTTTGTGTCTCGGGATGTCACATTCCACGAAGACGTTTTCCCTTTCTCCGAGCAGTTCTCACCGGCGCCGCCCGTGGAACATGATAGCGGTGTGATCATCTTTGACGAATCTGAAGGAGTTGTACAGCATGCAGATACATCGACTGGGGCCACTCCGGATCCAGTTCTCCCGGACGGCTCTTCTGCGCATAATACCCCGGAAGCTGCTCTTGGACGGGGATTGCGTGACAAACGGACATCTGTTTTGCTTCGTGATTTTGTTACTCATCATATCCGAAAATACAGTTCATCCCAACCGCCATCTTCTTCTCTCAGTTCCTCAGGTACGCCTTATCCTTTAGCACATTATATAAATTGTGAACATTTTTCTGATCGTCATCGCAAGTTTCTTGGAGCTATACTTGCAGGACAAGAACCCCGATCTTTCCGCGAGGCCATGACCGATCCGGGATGGCGTGCCGCCATGCAAAATGAAATACGCGCGCTTGAAGATAATCACACTTGGGATATGGTACCGCTACCTTCGGGCAAGCGGGCACTGGGTTGTAAATGGGTTTATAAGACCAAATACAACTCAGATGGCACGGTGGAACGACTTAAGGCGCGGCTGGTTGTGCTTGGCAATCATCAACGCGCAGGCATCGATTATACAGAAACTTTTGCTCCCGTTGCTAAGATGGTCACCGTGCGGATGTTTTTAGCTGTTGCTGCGGCTAAAAATTGGGAACTTCACCAGATGGATGTGCATAATGCCTTTCTTCACGGTGATCTCAGTGAGGAAGTCTACATGAAACCTCCTCCCGGTTTCTACTCTTCTCGGCCATCCTCAGTCTGTAAGCTGCAGAAATCTCTTTATGGGCTACGTCAGGCTCCACGGTGTTGGTTTGCCAAGCTTGCTTCATCCTTGCGGGATTATGGTTTTTCTCAGTCTAAATCTGATTATTCTTTATTCACTTATTGTCGCGGTGCCATACGTATGCACATTCTTATCTATGTGGATGATCTTATTATTGCTGGTAACAACTCTCTTGCTCTCTCCCGGTTCAAGGAATATCTACACAATTGTTTTCACATGAAGGACTTGGGAACTCTCAAGTATTTTCTTGGTGTTGAGGTAGCACGCAGTGCTGAAGGCTTATTTCTTTGCCAACGGAAGTATGCCTTAGATATTATCTCAGAGACTGGTCTACTTGGTGCTAAACCCTCATCTTGTCCCATGGAGCCAAATCATTCTTTGGCATTAGCTACGGGAGATCTTCTCTCGGAACCCGAGTCCTATCGCCGGCTTGTGGGACGGCTTATTTATTTGTCCTTTACTCGTCCGGATTTGGCCTATGCTGTTCATATTTTATCTCAGTTTATGCAGGCCCCGCGACAGGAGCACTGGCACGCCGCTCTTCGTGTTGTCCGTTACCTGAAAGGTGCACCCGGACAAGGCATTCTCCTCTCCTCTACTTCGGATCTACATCTTACGGCTTGGTGCGACTCGGACTGGGCGAGTTGTCCTCTCACTCGCCGCTCGCTTACTGGTTGGTTGATTTTTCTTGGAAACTCTCCTATCTCTTGGAAGACCAAGAAACAGCATACGGTGTCTCGCTCTTCTACGGAGGCGGAATACAGGTCTATGGCTGCGGTCACTGCAGAGCTCAAATGGCTCAAAGGACTCTTGTTGTCTCTCGGGCTCTTGCACTCTCGGCCTATGTCTCTGGTTTGTGATAGTCGCTCTGCTCTCCATATTGCTCAGAACCCCGTGTTCCATGAACGTACCAAACACATAGAAGTTGATTGTCATTATGTACGGGATGCTATTCAGGATGGTTTGCTCACGACCCGTCATGTTTCCAATAGCGATCAGCTTGCTGATATTTTTACTAAAGCTCTAGGACAACGACAATTTTCGTTCCTTCTAAGCAAGTTGGGCATTCTAAACCCCCATGCTCCAACTTGAGGGGGGGTGTTATGGGCTTATTTATTTTATTTGTATATTTTATAGCCTTAATTATAAATCAAATGGGCCAAGGGCTTCTTGTACACATGTATATATATTTTACTTCGTTAATGAAAATACACAGTTTTGATTCCTAAACCTTTCCCCCTCGGTTGCCGATCCAACATTCCCTCCTTCAAACTCTCAAAACATATCTTAACAACATTCCTTTAATTTTCATAGGAGTAAAAATTAAAATAGGGGTATTAGAAGTAGGAGTATTAGGAGTAAAAAATTTCATAGCTTCAACAATTACTTTTTTCGGGACAATTAGCAAAATAGGAGTAAAACATAGGAGTTATGCAAAAATAGGAGTAAAGTTTTAAAATTCCCAAAATAGGAGTATTTTTTTCTAAATGGACAAGGATACCCCTGCCTGTTGCTGCCTGTTGCTACAGTACCGCCGCCAGGCAGACTTCGCTGGACTGCCGCCGCTGGAGCTCCGATGACTACCGCCGGAAAATTTTCCAAACTTTTTTTCTGGACTTTTCCCATCATTTTTGCCGCCGCCGCCGGAATCTTCTGCCGCCACCGCCGGGCTGCCCCGCTACCAACGGACTGCCTTGGTTGCCCAAGGGAACTAGGGGGCAATAATTAATTAGAATAGAGGTTTTTTCCGGTCGCCGGAGCTCCACCACCGACCACCGCTGTCTGCCACCGCCACCACCGGACTGCCGTCGCTACCAACGCCCTGCCCCACCACCGACGGACTGCCCTTGTTGCCCAAGGGAATTAGGGGGGGCAATAATTAGTTACAATAGGGGTATTAGGGGTAAAAAATTAAAATTTACTCTTATTTGGGGAATATTAGGAGTTAACTCCTAGTAAGGGAAATGTGTTATGTTTTACTCCTATTGGGACTTGGGAGCAATTACTTTTTTCATATTTGACAATACAAACTCGGGTTTTGGGCTTTGGCATATTTAATTATGAATTCATAAAAAATATAAAAAGCAAATACTTTGAAATAATCTATACACTATAAAAATTCAGTAATATTTTGTCAAATATAATTTACTTTTATAAACTAGTAAAGATTAGGGTTGTAAGCGAACCATATAAAATCAAATAGGAATATTTATATTCGTTTTGTATTCAAATCTTATTTTCTACTCATATTTGATTCATACATTAGTATTATATTTTAGTATATTCCAAATGTACTCAAAAGTCAAATTTCAATTTTTTAAATGTCAATTATATTTCACAAATCAAAATCATGATGTATGGTTAGTAGTTATTTCTCAATTTTCGCAACATATATTCCATCTAAATTGAAATGAATACACAAGCTTGACCAATCTAAAATTAGTTTAAATAAATAACCAAAAGAAGCAAAAAGTTAAATGAACTTGTTATAAAATCATTCGCTAAACAAATGCAATCCCAATAGAAAGTTAGGGTATGTTTGGCCCAACTAGTTGAAAAGATATTTGTATAGACTTTTTCAGTAAATGTTAGACTTTAGTGACTGAAAAGATCTTAAAAGTAAAATGCGATTGTTGTTTGCTAAAGAGCCGACTGTTTGGTTTAGTTCTGTTTGATAACAAGTTGTTGAGACTAATTAATTTAATGCTAAAAGCTACAAAATTTTCTCAGATTCTACTCATTGTAGCAGCTCAAAAAATAATCAAATCTTTTATTTTTTGAAAAGCTCCTAAAATTGTCATACCAAACATATAACTATAAGTTTTTAGATACTTTTTAAATAGTACAAAAGCTAGAAGACATACAGTTATGTCTATCAAACATAGCGTTAGAAAAGATTGTACTACGTAGTATCTAGTAATGTAAACGTAAAAAATCTACATATATAATAAGCACTTTCATAGATATTTTAGTGAAAGAAAACTCAACCAATCTCATTTAATCAAGTATAATTCCAATAGCCATCAAAAGATCACAACATTACCAATACTTATTGATAAGTTCATTTTCTACTTATCTTTTTCTTCTATATTAGATTCATAGGTCTTCTAAAACCTAACATTTTTCTAGGTTCCACGATTAATCTTTGTATTGATGTGGATACGTATGGATTATTCATTGCATCCATACCTTTCGGGAGCACTTCTATCCTTCTATTGAATGCCGATGTGCTTTAACCATGGACCATGGTGATACCATGAACCCATTTGGATCTTTCGGATGGTATCACATGTACGAATATGGATTAATATGATTTGGTCTATTGATCACGTTTGATGTGATCTGCTTTTTAATAATGTTTTTAGTTGGACGATAATTTCATGGTCGTTTGATAGAAGTTTGGTGCATGCAAGGTATTTTACTATTACTTGAGTATTTACACATTATTGGTCTGCTTTAGTATTGTATGAGTTCACTACCGGATCATGATAACATTAAAAGTTTTAACTCAATCTCAAATAGATTTGAGATTGAGTTCATTCCACTTAAAAACATCTTTATTACGAGTTTAATATGATCCGGTAGGGTCTGATATTATATATGAGGTACAATGTAATGCATGTTTTCAACATTTGATTTATCTTATCTAAACTATCTAAGACTCTGTTTGCAATCACTTAAAATAAGTGATTGTGGCTTTTTTTTTAAGAAAAAATACTTATTTTACCGAACACTGCCAATTTTTATCTTCTCGGTT